GACATCTGGCAAAATGATGTTAGAAGCAACTAATGTAGACTATTTAAAGACCCTAAACATGAATTATAACATATCTGAAAGTTCCTCTTCTACAAGACCAAGTACTCAAACAATTATCGACATCATTGCTGATGATGTCGAATCTGTTACTGCTCAAAAACAGGAAGAACACATGGATTCTTCAGTTAAATATGATACTACTGCCACCCGTAAGTCATCCGAAAACTTGTCAAAAGTTATTAACGCTGATGCAAAAAAGTAATCCATCTCATGGAAGAAAAAAATTTGGTCAAACGAATTACGTCGATTTGGATACTGAAGAAGACAAAAAAGAAATACTATCTAAATATGAAGATAAAGTTACCAACTTAAATAAAGAAGCAAATAGTCAAGAGGAGAATGAAGAATCTGAAGATCATCAGCCTAAGAAAAGAAAAAGAAGTATTAGAACAACCTCGAAAGAAAAAAAAAGAATATCGAAAAACGATAAATGATTAACGTGCAAAAATAAAATTTTAATAGTTTACTATATATTTTACTTATTATTTATATAAAGTTCATAAGTTTAAATCAAATTATAATATTATTAAATATTGTGTAATTTATAAAAAATATTCACTGCAACATATTAAAATTTGGAGTAACTTATAGTAAAATTGTTCATCACACGTTTATATGATATTTTTTCTTCTATATTTAATAATTGAAAAAACGATACTCGATTCCCGCAATAGTATAAATCCTAAATGTGCTTGTTGTTTAAAAATTCTTTTTATAATATAAAATTCTCAGTTGTGTATTATGACTGATCTATTAGAAGTTTCAAAATTATGAACAAGACCCTAGACTGTATGCTGTAAAGATCGATCTTACCCTGACGAATAGTATACTGATACAGTATAATATTCAAACCATTTTTACTTCGTTATTCATGTTATCTTACAAATAGAAGGGATCGATGGGATAGTAGTAAAGAATTGTATCGACTAAAAAGGTATAATGGATAAAACTAAAAATAAATAAATTAGTATTCAATAAATTCATATATAGTATGAAAAGTACATAAGACAGGAAAATTAAAGAATAAAGCAACTCGTCTTGAGTTTCAAACTTCGAAGTCCTAATAGCAAAAGTTATCTCAGATTCCCAGCTTATATAAAACTATAAAATAACATCATTCGTTAGGGTGTTAGATATCATATGTTTGACTAATATACTGCAGCACTATCTGATTGACTCGTTAAGTATGATTTTGTTGATCGG